CTTGGACATCCCAGGTGATGAAGAAAGCAGTGGGACTCGCTTCTGTGATGGTCTCACTGGGATGGGTGAAGACCAGAAACCAGCCAGTGGCCAGCCCAGCTCCTCTTGCCACTCCCCTGAAGCAGTCACTGGCTGGCAGGCTGATGTCTCCCACACGTGTTCTGACTGTGGGCACTCTTTCCCTCATGTCACTGGCCTACTGAGCCATAGGCCCTGCCACCCACCAGGCATCTATCAGTGCTCTCTCTGCCCAAAGGAGTTTGACTCACTGCCTGCCCTGCGCAGCCACTTCCAGAACCATGGGCCCGGGGAGGCAGCCCCTGCACAGCCTTTCCTCTGCTGCCTCTGTGGGATGATCTTCCCGGGACGGGCTGGCTACAGGCTTCACCGGCGCCAAGCTCATGACTCTTCTGGCATGACTGAGGGTTCAGAGGAGGAGGGGGAAGAGGAAGGAGCAGCAGGGGCGGCCTCCACCCATAACCCTCCACTGCAGCTCTCAGAAGCAGAGCTGTTGAATCAGCTGCAGCGGGAGGTGGAGGCACTGGATGGAGCTGGCTATGGGCACATCTGTGGTTGCTGTGGTCAGACCTATGATGACCTAGGGAGCTTGGAGCGTCACCACCAAAGTCAGAGTTCTGGGAACACCATAGACAAATCTCCCGGCCACTTAGGAGAGTCAGATGATGCCATGGGAAGGGTTGCAGACCATGACCATGTCTTTGAGGACACAATGGCCTGCCTCTCTGGGGAGGGTGGGGACACGACGTCTGGAGAGGGAGTAGGTGCCATGGTTGTAGACAACCTTTCCATGCAAGGTGCGGAAAGTTCGCTGGAGGCCCAACCCCGCCCCTTCCGCTGCAACCAGTGTGGGAAGACCTACCGCCATGGGGGCAGCCTGGTGAACCACCGCAAGATCCACCAGACTGGAGACTTCATCTGCCCTGTCTGCTCCCGCTGCTACCCCAACCTGGCTGCCTACCGTAATCATCTGCGAAACCACCCGCGCTGCAAAGGCTCTGAGCCCCAAGTGGGGCCCGTCCCAGAGGCAGGAGGCAGCAGCGAGCCCCAGAACATAGCAGAAGAAGGGCTGGGGCAGGCAGATGTGGGGAAGTTCCAGGAGGGACTTAAAGTGGAACCCTTGGAGGAGGTGGCAAGGGTGAAAGAGGAGGAGTGGGAGGAGGCCACTGTGAAGGGGGAGGAGGTGGAGCCAAGGTTGGAGACCGCAGAGAAGAGCTGCCAGACTGAGGCCAGCTCTGAGCGGCCCTTCAGCTGTGAGGTATGTGGCCGGTCGTACAAGCATGCTGGCAGTCTCATCAATCACCGGCAGAGCCACCAGACTGGCCACTTTGGCTGCCAGGCCTGCTCCAAAGGCTTCTCAAACCTCATGTCTCTCAAGAACCACCGGCGCATCCATGCAGATCCCCGGCGTTTCCGCTGTGGCGAATGTGGGAAGGCCTTCCGCCTGCGGAAACAGCTGGCCAGCCACCAGCGGGTCCATGTTGAGCGAGGTGGGAGTGGGGGTACCCGGAAGCTGACTCGGGAAGATCGGCCCTTCCGGTGTGGGCAGTGTGGGAGGACCTACCGCCATGCTGGCAGCCTCCTGAACCACCGGCGAAGCCACGACACAGGCCAATACAGCTGTCCCACCTGCCCCAAGACCTACTCCAACAGCATGGCCCTGAAGGACCACCAGAGACTGCACTCAGAGAGCCGGCGGCGGCGAGCAGGGCTATCTCGGCGGGCAGCTGTGCGCTGTGCCCTCTGTGGCCGAGGCTTCCCTGGCCGGGGATCTCTGGAGCAGCACCTGCGAGAGCATGAGGAGGATACCAAAAGGGATCCAAATGGCACAGAGGGCAATGAGGGGAAGCTGGCTAATGACCAGGGACTAGAGGACACATCGGGTGGTACTGAGTCAGTTCTCCGGCTGGAGGATGGTTCCAGGAGGCCGGGGGAGCAGAGTCCGAGCCCCATCAGAGCAGCAGGTTCAGAAGCCACAGAGCTGGTATCCTGGGACATGGGGAATGCAGAAGGGAGGCAAGGAGATGGGGGACCAGTGGATCATGGTGGAGATTGGGTTCTTCAGGGTCAGGTACTGACCAAGCCAGAAGATGAGTCAGGGAACAGCATCCCCAAGAGTCCTTGCTGCCTTGGCAACAGCCAGCCCAATGGACCTAGTCTAAGTCCTGTGGATAGCTGGGACAATGGAGACAGCCGACCTCAGCTCCAGCAAGAGAGTCACACCTTTTCCTGCAGCCACTGTGGCAAGACATACTGCCAATCGGAAGGCCCTTTGAATGGCCACGGCACCTCCAAGACAGACTGCCACTATTGCCTGCTCTGCTCCAAGGAGTTCTTGAATCCTGTGGCCACTAAGAGCCACAGCCACAGCCACAGCCACAACCACATAGCTGCCCAGACCCTTGCCTGCCCTGACTGTGGTAAGGCCTTTCAGTCCCATTATGAACTAGCCAGCCACCTGCACACTCATGCCAGCGGCCTCAGTCAGATGCCACCCCAGATAGAGGCCAGAGGTCCTGAAGGTGGGACTGTGAACGATGAGGTGGATCTCCCTGGCCAAGGGGAAATCCAAAAGTCCCCATCAGAACCCCCCAGGGCCCCAGGAGAGAATGCTGGGAGTGCTAATGGGGGGCAAGGAGTAAAGTCCACAGTGGCTGAAGATGAGGAACGGCCCTTCCGTTGTGCCCAGTGTGGACGCTCCTACCGCCATGCCGGTAGCCTGCTGAACCATCAGAAGGCCCACACCACTGGACTCTACCCCTGTTCCCTCTGCCCCAAACTTCTACCCAACCTGCTGTCCCTTAAGAACCATGGCAGGACCCACACAGACCCCAAGCGCCACCGCTGTAGCATCTGTGGCAAGGCCTTCCGGACAGCTGCCCGGCTGGAGGGTCATGGGCGGGTCCACGCACCTCGGGAGGGGCCCTTCACCTGCCCTCATTGTCCTCGCCACTTCCGCCGCCGAATCAGCTTCCAGCAGCACCAGCAGCAGCACCAGGAGGAATGGACAGTGGCCAGCTCTGGTACGGGGACAGGAATGGCTTGAGCAGAGGACGGAAGGGTTCCAGAGGAGGTGGGCACAGTGGGGTTGGGGGAGACAAGGAGTGAGAGAGGTTGGGCAGAGGCGGAGGGTGGGGACTTGGATATGGAGGAAACTGGTCTGAGGATGCTGTCTGGTGAGGGCAGAGATCAGAACCCCTGGGCCAGATAAACAGCATGGTGGGTTGGACAGTGTGGTGGGGGGAGGGAGTGGTTGTGGACAGGGGCAGAGGCAGCTGCTGTGCAGGAGCCAAAGAATGGGCTTTTTGTTTGGGGTGGGGAGGCAGCCATCTGGCTACTACATCTGGAAACTCCTGATCCAGCCAGTAAAGAAATGATTTCCAGAGAAAAATGGCCTAGATGGTGCTCTTTCCTTAAGTAGGCACCGAGCAAGAGGATGAAGAAAGGGGGTGAGAGGCACCCCCCAGAAGGGACTGCTTTGTGTGGTTTTTGCTGACTTGCCCAGGGAAACAGGTCTCTGGTTGGCCCCCAGCTCCCTGTCTTTCTCTCCCCAAATTTTGTCTCTGGTTTCCCTCCTCTCTTGGAATCTAGACCTTTGGTCCTTTGCTACTGATATTGCCTCATGAATCTTCCCTATATTGAACTTTTTCTTCTCTCTGCTGCGCATCTCCCTTTTAGGAGCCAACCAAACCACTTTTTCCACCTGCATACCCCCATTCCCGCCCGCACACCTTTACCTGGAGGATTGAGTCACAGATAATTGGCTTTGAAGCCAGGCCCAGCTGAGGCAACAGCAGTCATTAGCCCCTATCTCCCATCCTCTATCGGGGAATTTCCATGGAAAGCCACTCCACCCAGGCCTACGGAAGGATGAGGCGGTGTGGGAGTTGGGCAGCCTGTTTCCTCAGTCTGTTCTTGAGCCCTGGGCTCATGTCCTCTGCCTCCTCTAGAGATCTATAGGCCTTCTCCCAGGATCTATTCCATTTGGTGGCCACCAAGAGTAGGTATCCCCAAGCTGGCAGGCCCTTGACCAGAGATTGTCAGGGAAAGAGGGGATGGTGGGTGAGTGTATCCTGAGAGAGCTGACGAGATGGCTTTCAGGATAAAAGATTTCTTGTGACCTCAAGGGAATGAGTGAGGAGCCAGTTAGTCAGGCCTGGAAAAATCATTGGGAGTTTTCATGCAGGCCTCTGGGGTCAGGAGGGTAGCAGCAGAATGGCCTACAGCCTAGGGAGGGGGTGCAAGCCGTGTGGGGTTTGCCGGACTCTATCCGTGACCTCCTCTTTTTCTCCCCAGGAGCCCCAAAGGCACCAGCGGCGGGCAGACGGGACCTGTCATTGCCCCCTCCACCTACCCCCACGACCCCACTTCTGGATCCTTCACCCCAGTGGCCTGCAGACCTCAGCTTCTCCCTCTGAACTTCAAGTCTCCAAAGATCAGAATACGGGCGGGGTGGGGTGGGGGGCGGGTTGTAGGGAAAGGCTTGATCTCCATGTTTTGCTCAGGAGTAGTCAGGCATCCTCATCTCTTATTCTCCTCTCCTGCTGTGAAGAGGACCCAGATCTGGCTTCTTGTCCATGCAGGGCATAAGGTGTTCCTCATGTCCCCGTCCTTGCAGGCTCTCCTTTCCCCAGCCGTTGTCATTATGCTCTTCCCTATGACCAGCCCTGCAAGGAAGCCTGTGCCAGACTCTGCCACAATGTGGGTCCACTGTCACCAGCCAGATTCCAACGCCAGGGAGAGGTGGATTCAGAGAGCCACAGGTGGGACTGTTGCCTGTGGAAGGGGAGCCTTTTGCTACAATTTGTAACTTATTTTCTAAAGTCTATTTTGTAACAATTTATTTAAGTTTAAAAAAAAAAAAGGAAAACTGCTCCCCCCCCCAAAAAAAAAAAAATTTTCAAAGTAAGTGGCTGGTGTGATCATATCTGGGGACGAAGACTAGGGAAGGCTGGGGACGCCTGCGTCGGACTGCAGAGCTGGGCGTAGGGAAGCAGCTACAGGCGACATCTCCCTGGCCTGCAGGGTGGGGAGTAAGGGCAACTGCTGGTCCCGGCGCGCTCCTTCCCAGAGCCCACTGGGCTGGTGGGCCTGCCCCGGTGCCTGGAATCACGCGTGGGTGGGGGGAATGGGACAGGGACAGGGGCAGTGATGCAGGAATTGTCTCACTGCACCTGCAGCATCCCAGAGCCACCTGTCAACAGCCAGCTGGTTTGCCTGTCAGGGAAAGGAAGGAGGGTGGGGTTGGCCTCATCTCCAAACCTTCCTCCTTCCCTGGAAGGAAAAGGAAGAAGGTGCTACTTAACCCCCATGACAGATGAGAAAACTGAGGTTTGAAGACGTTGAGAGGCCTGCTCCAAGTCACAATGATTAGGAACCAGAGTTTTGTCCACCCCTCCCCGCCACCCAGGGCAGCTAGAGGGGGATCAGAACAGATCTTTCCCTGGACTGAGAGAGAATGGGTCTGGAGAGGGAACAGTTGGCAGGGAGGCCCCAGGGCCACGTACTCATGTTGGCCAAGCAGCTTCCAGTCTCTGGCTCAGGCTCCGGCTCCTCAGCAAAATAGACCTGCCAGTCCAAACTGCTGACCCAGTTCTCATAGGCGGGAAGTGCCGTGAAGACTGCAGGCCTTGCAGGCCCTTGGCAGGCATCTCCAAAGCTGTGTAGCCCAGCCAGGAACCATGTGCCTCTCACCTCGTGCACCAGAGGTGCCCCAGACAGGCCCTGTCAGGAGTCAGGTGACACTGGGTGACTTCCTCTCTTCCGTAGGCAGCTGTGGGGGCAGAAGGGGCTAGGGGCTGGGATGAGGCTCTGGCTCTTTGGGAGCCAGTTGGCAGAAAGGCCCAATTTCAAGTGAGAGGCAAGTCTAGAGGCCATGCCTGGCAGAGGTCTGTGTGTGAGTTACAGGATAAAGACGCCAGGGGTCTGTGGAGTAAGGTTTGGGGGACAGGCTCACCTCACAGTGGGGCGGCTCACCCACAACACTGGTACACACCATCCCTGGCAGAATGGGGATACTGTCGCTTCCAAGAGCTGAATGCAGCCGGCTGCAGGCCCTGGGTCCCAAGAGGGTCACAGGCACTGTCTGAGGGGAGCTGGCACCTATAGGGCAAGGGAGAAGATCCAGCCGTCCCAACAGCCTCTAGGATGGACACACAGCTGCTGGTGGGCCTGTCCTACCTACCTGCTCCTTGGCGGGGCAGCCCCAGGACCCAGCCACGTTCCCCATCTGGCAGGTGGTGGTCGGCATATGGCAGGCAGAGGGGCCGAAGGCTGGGGCCCAGTGTCACAGGTCGGGCCAGCAGCAGGAGTGCCACATCGTAGCCCCCCTCTGGATGGGTATAAGCCCCATGCAGGATGATCTGCTTCAGGGCCCGTTCCTCTGGTCCGGCTCCCAGCCCTATGCTCCACTCCTCTGGGGTCTGGCGCCTGTGCAGAGAGGCATCATTGACGGCATCGCGTGGCAGGGCTGCCAGCGAGGGCAGGGGCATGAAGGCAAGAGAGACATGGCTCACCCAATGAAGCAGTGGGCAGCAGTCAGCACTACCTCCTCCGACACCAGGGCTCCACCACAGGCCAGCTTCCCCTGGTGCTTCAGCCTCGCATCCCAGGGCCAGGGGGAGGGAGCTCCTGCCTGGGGACCTCTTCTCCTCAAGGATCCACAGGCTGGAACAGACGGATTACATCATCTGCCTTCTTGCTAAGTGCTCACTGCATGCCTGGCCCTGTGCTAAGCCCTTCCCACGTACCATCAAATCCTCATGATCTCCTCTTAAGTTGGATTTTGTTACCCTCATTACCGAAGTAACCAAAGTTCCAGAGAGGTTAAGTGATTTTCTAGCTCAGTAACCAACCACAGGCAGGTAGCCGACTTGAGACTCAAAAGCCAGGGAGGGCCTAAGCTTTTAAACCCTGATGGTCTAGCCTCATGGGAGTGGCCCCGCTCATCATTCTCCCACCCCAACTGTCTGTGCCCCTCGGGGCTTGGACTGGCCCCAGAATTCCTGGCTCACTAGTACTTCTCTTAACCATCAAGGTAAAGCTTCCGTCCCAGAAATAATTTTGCATGCAATTTGCATGTTAGTCACTTAATGCCAGAATCCGGAGTGGGAGCCCTGCCCTGTCCAGTCTCACTGGGCCCCTGCTTGGAAACTTGCAGTTTGCCCCCACAACCTTCAATCAGATTTCAGAGATCCCTCTTCATACCGAAACTCTAAATGCACAAAGTTCTGAAGTATCTGTGCCTCTCAGCCCTTAAATGGGATGGTTCCCATCTTAGAGGCTGAAAGGGGCCTTAAGGGCCCCTACTTAGCCCCTGGCAATGTGTGATTGGCTCCTACCAATTCTCTGTTCTGAGCTGAAACTTGCTTCACTGTGTTTCTGTCTGCTGCCCAGAACATGTCCCACTCCAAACACCCCCCGCTCATACCTACACAGCTGTCCTCATCACTGATCTCCGGGATCTCTGGGTTCTGGGACAGGAAGGCTGCTCCTTCGGCTCGAGCCTGCAGCCAGGAGCTATGAGCAGCCATACTGGTCAGAAGCACAGGAGTGTCTTCTTGGGCACAGCTTGATGCAAAGCTGATGATCCCAGCCTGAACCCAATGTCCATCAGGCTCACGGCACAGCACAGGGCCCCCAGAATCTCCCTGGAGCCAGAAAAAGGAGTCAAGTATAGACACTTCAGCCCCAAGCCAGGGACAGACACCCTTTAACAGTGGCATGTCCACCCATCCCTATAGCTCATGCACCTAGCCCAGGGCTAGGCCCCCTCCCTTTCTGCTCCCTTCTCATCTTTCCCATCAGACCTGACAGGGCCCCTGCACCCCAGGCTGGGCGCCCCCACACAGCATCCCAGGCCGAGCTGGGCTAGCCAGCAGCCGCTGGTGCAGCCGGTTGTAGAGACAATTACACATGGGGCGGCTGATTAGGCGCAGGCGGAGATTCCGTAGTGTCCTGGGAGCTGGCAAAAGAAAGGGAATGGGGGGGGGGGAGGGTACAAGGGAGACTGAGCACGGACAGTTGGCAGCTGAGGCTGTGTGTCCTTGGGCAAGCATAGTGTCTCTGTGGGCTTTCGTCTGGGACAGCACTTACCATCATTGGTGTCCTGATCCCAGCCAGTAGCCCAGCAGGAGGTCCCAAAAGGAAAGCGATGAGTCGATTGGGGCAAGCAGAGGGGTGTATGGGCCGTGGGGTGGGCGAGTCGGAGCAGGGCCAGGTCTGAGCCCTGGCTGTAGTGGTTATAGGCCCTTGGCAGCTGCAGAGCAGTCACCCCCACCTCCTCGGCCCCTGGGCTCAGCCCCTCACATTGCAGAGAACCCAGGACAACTGACCAGGAGTTCAGGTCTGTCACTGCTGCCCTGGAAGGGGAGGGATAAGGCTGAGGCACTGAATGCAAAGGGGGACAGTGACACCATAGGGGACACCACCAGGTAGGTGAAAGATGGACGAAAATCACCCCAGAGCTTTAAGCAAGGCCCTTCTCTCTCCCAACCTCAGTTTTTTCATTTGTAAGGCTTCTACCATGAAAAGTTAAGATTAACTTGATAATGTGTACCTGGCACATGGTGTACTTTCAGTAAATGGTTCTTTGTGATTCTAGGGGCAGGGGTCAGTTTTACAGAGTTTGGGAATATAATCACTCACCCCACCCCTGAAAGTCAGAAACTCTGATCCCAGCCGTGACTCACTTTTCAAAGCAGTGGGCAGCAGTGAGGACCCAGGTGTCCGCCACCAGGGATCCGCTGCAGATGTGGATGCCCTGCCTCCTTACACTGGCTTGCCACGGCCACTCACCACGTACTGTGTTGCCCTCCTGAGGCTCGGGGGGGCCAGGGCCGCGCTGCCCACATACTGCGGAGAGGGGTGGATCAGACTGACAGAAGGTCCCTGTCCTGTCCTCACCACAGGCCCATGCCAGACCCAAGGAAGGCCTGGCCCCATGTCCCCAAAGCTTACCGTGCTGAGCTGCTTGAAGACCTGGGAAGAGAGAGACACAAGTGAGACTTGGGGGAGCCTTATCTGCCTGGCCCAGCCTTGGTGAAAAGGATAGGTTTTGGGGGATGGACCCTGGGTCCTTGCCTATGACTGTGTAGGCTACCTTACCAGCCCCTCCCAGAATGAAAATATATGAGGTCAAGAAACAGCTTTTATTGGAACTTATTCAGAGCGTACACTCAGTAATTAATTCTCCTCCTTCAGCTGTGCTCAGCAGTCCTGGGCCCGAGAAGCAGGGCCAGGGTTCAGCTTGGGACTAATCCAACCTTCCTCCAGGCTTCAGATCCCCTAACTCCAGCCCCCGCCACTGAGTCAGGGAGGCGGCCTGTATATGTGGAGAGCATTAGCTTAATTGTGCCCTCAGCTGTGAATGCCTAAGAGGAAGGATTAGAGGCCGACGTCATGTCTGAGTGGGGGAGGGCTCCAAGAGATTGAGACTCACCCCACCCTTGTTCTGACGACTCAGATTCCCCCCCTTTCCACAGACCACCAGACACTTTACCAAAAGATCCCCGGCCCTGCCTCTTCTCCATCACGGGCACAGAAACATTTGGACCAGGAGAGATGGGGCATAGGTAGGGATGGGGAGACTGAGGCCAAAGGGCCCCCAGAACTTGCCTAAGGTCATTCTGGAAGTAGAGAGGCAGACAGACACAGGGTACACACACAGGCATAAAGACTACAGACATAGATTGTAATCTAGAAATCACACCCATTTTGACATAGGTGGCCACATACACCTCCTCTGATACACAGCCGGACACGGTGACATCGCCACAGGCAGACGGTCACTCCCATAGGCATGCCCCCTCACACACACACCAGGCTGCAAGGCTGCTGGGGCAGAGGGTGGCCCCTGAACACCTACCGTACCACTCCCCTACCCAAACATGGGTGGCTCACCCTCTGTGAGGACCACTGCTCCCAGGATGAGCAGCTCTGGTCCCCAGCTCTGCTTCATGCTGCTCCAAGCCACTCTGCCGCCTGTACTCTGGTTTTCAGAGAGGCCACCTGGGTCTCCCTAGCTCCACCTTTGCTCCACCCCCAGTTGCCTAGGAGTCAGGTGCCAGAAGGGAGCCAGCAGCTCAGCTCTGGGGTTGTGACTGTGTTACCCTGGGCCTTCTCTGGGCCTCAGCCACGGCCAGACTGCCTTGGTTCAACTCCCAGTTCCCCTACTTACTACATGAGTGACCTTGACCTTGGACAGTCAACCCCTATATGCCTTGTATGAAAAACTCAGAATTGTTGAATGTAAAAATACTTAGATGGGGGTACCTGGGTGGCTCAGCTGGTTAAACATCTGACTTCAGCTCAGGTCATGATCTCACAGTTTGAGGGTCTGAGCCCCACATCAGGCTCCATGCTGACAGCTCAGAGCCTGAGCTCTGTCGGATCCTGTCTTTGGATTCTGTGTCTCCCTCTCTCTCTGACCCTCCCCTGCTCACACACTCTCTCTCAGAAGTAAATAAAACATAATTTAAAAAAATACTTAGAGTCCAGTATAGAGCAAACTTGTGCCCAGAATGGAAGCTGTCCTCCAGGAACTGAGAAGGGCACTGCAGGCATACCCTCCCATGTCTCCCTCTGTTTCAGCTCCACACACACACCCCCACCTCTCTCCCAGGCCCACATGCAGGTGGGTTTCACATACCTTCTCCCATCTTGCTTCAGTGGCAGTGTGTGCAGGGCTGAGTATTGACGGCTGGGGCTCTCTGCTACTTCCTGGCAATGAGACTAGCAAATCTCAGCACATCTCTGCTGCCTTCCCAGGAAACAGTGTTACAATGGTGTCCACATTTCTTGCAGGTGGTGGAAGACTCAATCCGGAGGGAAGAACACTCAGGCTGCATCCTTTTTCTCCTTCTGATTTCTAACTTAGGCAGCCCAAACTGTTCAGGAACCCTGACCCCACCACAGAGGTAGCTGTGTTAAGAGCATAGACACTGGTGGGGCGCCTGAGTGGCTCAGTCGGTTAGGCATCCGACTTTGGCTCAGGTCATGATGTCACCATTCATGGGTTCAAGCCCTGTGCTGGGCTCAGTGCTGACAGCTCAGAGCCTGGAGCCTGCTTCCGATTCTGTGTCTCCCTCTCTCTCTCTGCCCACCCACGCCCCTACTCTCTCTCTCTCAAAAATAGATAAAACATTAAAAAACATTAAAAAAAAAAAAAAGAGCATTAAACACTGGAGCCAGATGGCCCCGGTGAGGTCAAATCCTGAGGGCTCCCTAACCCTTTCCCCGGCACTAGCTGTGTGACAAACTACTTAGACAAACTACTTACCCTCTCTACCTCAGTTTCCTCATCAAGATAGAGATAATAAAAGTACCTACCTCATACAGCTGGATATATAAAGATTACATGAGTTAACACATGTCACATTTTTTAATTTTTTTAATGTTCATTTATTTTTGAGAGAGAGAGAGAGAGAGAACGTGAGTGGAGGAGGGGCAGAGAGAGAGAGAGAGGGAGACACAGAATAGAATGCAGGCTCCAGGCTTTAAGCTATCAGCACAGAGCCCCATGTAGGGCTCGAACTCATGAATCATGAGATCATGGCCTAAGCCGAAGTCGGACACTTAACCAACTGAGCCACCCAGGCACCCCTAACACATGTCATATTCTTAAGCAGTGCTTGGCATGTAAATGCTTAGTATATATCAGAAAAAATAAAACAAAAATATTCAAAACCTGTTCCTGGTCCTCCAGGGCTGCCAGAACTGGCTTTGGGTGGTAGATAAGGCAGCTGGAGAGGTTAAGGTTAGACCATAGGAAGAACTTCCCAGCAAGTATGCACAGAACGTTGCCCTTGTAAGTGTGTGCTTGGCTTTCCCAGGAAAGAACTGCCAGCCTGCTTCCTGGGGGTGGGAGCTGATGGCACCCGACGTCTTGCTGACTCCACACGCTGGAGAAGGGACTAACCACCCTTCCAAGGCAGGCCTTCCGCTCTCCCTCTGACTCATATCCTTCTAGTCCAGAGGAGGCAAGATTGGGGGAGGCTCAACACTAGGGCTCCTCACAGATGGATGGCTCAGACTTAGCTAATTTATTTAAGAAATTTTATTGCTCAGAACCTTCCCTCCTTGGGCAATGGCAGGAGCTGTGGAAACCAGTCCTTGGGGACAGAGACAAAGGCACTAGGGTTGAGGAAAGAGTGTGGCACATTTGGTCCATTGTCTTGTGTGGGAGTATGGTGGGGTCAGGTTGCAGACTCTTAAAAGGACCCAGACATGGCCCCCTTGGGCAAGGCTCACATGCCAAAGCAGAGCATGAGGTCAGCCTCGCTTGGGTGAGGGCTCAGTGCCCCTTGACCTTGCCCTGGGGTTCCTGGACCGCCCAGAAGCTGAGCACCGTCAGGCCCACATTGATGGCATAGGTGGTGATGCAAACGATGCAGAAATCATAGAGTACGAAGAATAGGATCCAGGCCAGGTAGACAGAACCAGCGAGAGACACCAGGGAACTCAGCACCAGCAGGATAGAAGCCCAGCGGGCCCGGAGGCAACCTGCAAGGCAGACAAGACTCAAGTATGGGCTTCAGGGACTGGCCACCTCTAGAATACTGCCTTGACCTCATGGTACCACCCAGACATCAGGGGCGGCTGGGGAAGGGTCTCCAAAATGAGAGGCTCTGATGAGCCTCATCAAGGCCTTGGGCCTATCTGTTCAATGGTCCCTGGAACCCAAATAGTGAATTTTCCTGCTGAACTCTGCATGAGATGAAAGAGAAGCAGCCCTTGGATTCCTCCCAGAGAGTAACTTCTGAGTCTTTTCATAAAATTGGAGTCCTAGGAAGTCTTTAAGGGGCCTTTTGCCTGATAGTAAGTAAACCAAGTGACTTTTTAGTTCCTACCCCAGGGTGTTCAGTGATGAGCAGCTTGCTGTCCCGTGTCTGGGTCACCAGATTATAAGGGATGGGGCTGGACTGGCCAAAGGGGAAGGGGCTTGTTAGAAGAGGCGGGGCCTGCAGGTAATGGGCGGGGCCACTCACCCAACAACAGCTGTAATGTGTAGAAGATGCAACCGAATACGCTATTGGATTGATTGAGGATGCTGTCCTGGCCAAGCACTTGTTCCACCAGTCCGAACCCCCGGCCCCACCTGGTGGAGGGGAGGGCTCAGGTTAGGAGTGCCAGCCCAGTGCTTTGGCCCTGTCCTGGAGGGGTGATTTCCAAGAAGCCACACAGGCTGTACTTTCCCTCTCCCCCACCCCCATGCCCCTGCGAGTCCAAGGGTCGATGACCTCCTGGCTAGCTCAGGATTCCACGTCACTGTCCCTATCCTCCCCGATCCCCATGCTAGGCATGCGTGACTCCACCATACACCCCTCTTTTCATCCTAGACCTTCAATAATTCTTAAGATGGCAAGGTAGGTAGAACGGTTTGACCTGGCTTTATAGAGCTACCACAGACTGGGAATCCACTGCAGAATCTCACTGCCCTGGACCTCTAGATCTCCAGCTCCCTGGCCATCCACTCCCCTCCTTTGTATTCGGTCAACCCCAGGCCCTCAAGCATAGCCAGACCTGACCACCTTATCCCGTTACGGCCATCCCCAAGACCAAGACCATCATCAGCCCCTATACACTATCCCATTCCCCCTTCTGCCCGGTTACCGTTATTCCCCAGCATCAGGCTCTATGTGCTACTCCCTATAATATCCCCAGCGCCCAGCACTATCTGCCCCAGGCCCCACACCCCTATCTCAGACACAGTTTCGCCAGGCAACGCCCCCTCGAGCAGCCCCGCCCCGTGCGTCCGCTCCCAGGGATCCCGCTCCCAGACTCCAGAATCATCTGGCAACCTGGCCACCACCACTCCCGCTCGCACCTGGAGGAGAAGACGCGCGAACAGCTGATGGCGGTGCCCACGTCGCAGAGCGCGCGGTAATCCTGGTCCCGGGCGCGCGCCGCCTTCACGTGCAGGGCGTAGAGCGAGAGCACTAAACCCGCGAGGCAGAGCGCGAGCCGCACCCGTCCGGGGTTCCCCCAGGTAGCGCCCATGATTTACCGTATCTCCCGAAGCGCCAGCAGTAGGGAACCCGCCACGGAGCAGGGGCGGAGCAGGATGTGGCCACGCCCTCTCCCGCCCCTCTGACTGGGCGATTGGCCTGCCTGGTTTCGCGCGTCCCTGATCCACTGGTTGTTTCTAGTACTTGATGGTCGTGCTGGCAAAGTAGGAAAACAGGGAGGAATGCTGGGACTGAGAAAACAGATTAGGGATTAGGGGTAATTACAGAGCACAAGGCCTGTCAGGCATGATGGGAGTTGTAGTCCGAGCGGCCTCAGCGCCTCAAGGGAAATGGAGTCTCCGAGTTAAAAAAAAAATTATATCAATGTGGCTAACAGTATAGCGCTTAGGCCATGCCAAACTGTGTTCAAAGCATTGGAACATCCAGGACCTAGAGATCAGGGAATCCAGAGAATACTGCGGTCCGATCAAGAACCAGCATTTCCCCTAAAATTATTATTTCAGATGCTATTAGCACTATAATTCCAATCCTCAATGCTTGTTCAGTCATTCTCTCCCGCCTCATCAGCACCTCCTGCCGACCAGTCTTTCTCTCCCTCAAATTCCCAGCTCCATCACCACTGCCACACCACTGACATTATTAACCTCTGTTATATTGTGGCACCAGCCTGGCAAAACCTGAGTCTGGATCAACCCAACAGTCCCACTTTTCCAAGCTTTCATTCGGTAGGCATTGAAACTCGCTTCTCTTTCCCCATTTTAGAAACAGTGACAAATCTCCCTTCACAATCAAGTTTTTGGGAAGATTTTACAGTTCCAGTCTGTACTTCCTCACTTCTTCCTTGCTGCCCAGCACATCATAAACTAGCTCCCGCCCCCAAACACTCCCCTGACAACTAATGGCTGATGTCATCAGGATGCTAAATCCAATGCATGTATCTGTATATATCTATACATAGAAATACTTTTTAGTAATCTCTGTACCCAAAGTGCAAGGCTGGAACTCCCCACCGGGAGATCAGAGTCACGTGCTCTTCAGACTGAGCCAGCCAGGTGCCCCTCCAATGGATATTTTTGAGTTCTTATCATTCTTTTTTTTTTTTAATATTTTTATTTATTTCTAGGAGAGAGAGAGAGACAGCGTGAGCAGGGGAGGGTCAGAGAGAGGGAGTCACAGACTCTGAAACAGGCTCCAGGCTCCGAGCTGGCAGTCAGCACAGAGCTGACTCGCGGGGCTCGAACCCATGAACCGCGAGATCATGACCTAAGTGAAAGTCGGACGCTTAACCGACTAAACCACCAAGGCGCCCC